TCCCCCCCCCGGGGGGGGGAAATTCTGGGAGTTGAAGTCCACTCACCTTCAAGTGGCCAAGGTTGAGAAACACTGTAATAGACAGTCCCTCCCATCCAAATTAAATGGAGGCGTTACCAGAACACTTCAGAAAAGACACCACTGCAGTCCAATGCAAACATTTCAGCTCAGAAACAAAATAAGAAAAAAACTATCCCAACATTTGGACCATTGGCTTGATGAGTTTTTATCTATATAAAGTGCTCAGCTGGAACAGAAAGCCACGATGTGAACACAAGGAAAAAAAAAGGAATAAATGCGGGCTGGGGAATTCTGGGAGTTGAAGTCCACACATCTTCAAGTGGCCACGGTTGAGAAACTCTCCTCTAGAGCCATTCAGCCCTCTCTTTCCCTCCCTGTATGTATATATGTATACATACTGTTACAGTCAGGACCTGCAAGGGCAACTGAGCTGGGCAGAACCGAAGCAACAGAACCCCAAGCCAACGTCCTCCAGGTGTCCTGGACTTCAGCTCCCAAATTGCTACCAGCAGAGTCGCTAGCTAAAGATCTGGGGAACTGGAGTCCTGTCCATGCAGCAAGATGCAGGTCGGAGAAAGGTGTGAGGTTAATGGGCAGCCCCTCTGCTTACCAAACGGTTGAGTGGCTTCCCACCCACAAGACAGAAGGTCCACCCCAGAACATGGCCCCACTTCACCCACAGAGCAGAGGAGGGTGGGGGAGAGGAAGGGCAAAGCCAGGAGCTGCTCACAGGGGGAAGGGAGAAGGGAAAGGCATCACACCCCCATTGGGGGGCAGGGCAGGCTCCAGGCCTCCATGCAGGGCAGCCGGTGGCTCGTTACAGGTAGCAGATTCGGGCCGAAGCGACTCTCACCTGTACACGTGCCCGGATGACGTCCATCGGGTTGGTGAGGGTGGAAGCGGTAGCAGCCGCCATCGGCCCAGATATCGCTTGGAGCAGCAGGTGTGGGCAGTCCTTGGGGGTCAGGCTGGAAAGCTGTTCTGGAAACAGGCATGAAAACCAGGTTATGTATGCGTGGCAGTTCCCGTGCTCAAAAGTTGCTGGAGAACAACCCTTCTGGACTGGAAGCATCAACAGAGGGACCTGCTGGGAATCCAGTGTTAAAGAGTATGGGTTCTTGGGAAAATCCAGAAGGGTTGTTCTACAGCGTCTTCCCCTCCACGTCTGTTGGGACTCAAGAGAGCATATGTGTGACTGCACACAGATGTTTCCAACCCATCTGAGGACAGTAAAACACCACTTTGAACTACAAAATTCCAAAATAAATACCAGGACTTTCTAGTTCCCCTTGCAGTTTCTGTATTGGTGTATTCTTCTAAACGTAAGTTGGAGTTTGCCAATGGCAAGCTAAAGGCATTTTAAATGATGCCCTTAAGTTGCAGGAGGTGGGAGCTTTCCCTTGCAAGCGTGTTCCACCAGATGTATTTGCACCCCACCCAAAGAACTTTTTAAACCAAAGCTTACACCACGGTATTATTGTTTCAGTCATCAGCTCTGCCTTTCAGCCAACTGGACCCACGAAGACAGGTTGTAAGTACCCCTCATTCAGCACTGTCGTAAGTTTGAACAGTCACTGAACGAATGGTCATTAAGTGAGGACTACCTGTAATTAGGATTAGGCAGCAGGTTATGCAAAAGTATCTGGATTTATCCATATTTTCTACAGATGGCTCATACCCCCCAGGGGAGAAAGGGCTACTTATGGGAAGATGTTTGAAAGAACCAAAGACACCAGCTAGAGTACAAGCGTCCTGTCAAGGGAGACTCAGAGATCAGCTTTGTCCTCCTTCTCTGAGACCTGTGGATCCCGTCACTGCCCTTCAAGAGGACTGGCACTGCAGATGCTGGGATTCTGCTGCAAGTCAGCTGTGCATGCCACAGGACTGCAGTCCTCCCCATTCTCATGTGTTGGGGGGGTCTACTGGGAGGAGAACCAGCTTCAGTCCTAACCTCATCAGTCATGCGGTCCTTGATTCTCCATCCCAAAGGAAAGATTGTCCCCTTCTGACCCAGGGCCCTTGCAAAACAGGACACCCTCCCCCCGCAACATCCAAGCATATTCCGGTGGTATAAAGCCGAAGCAGGACCTCAGCCAGTCCTCCTAATGCCAAAGGGGAGGGCAGACGCTCCTTCCAAGAGGGGCAAGGCTGAACGCTGCGAGAGAACAAGGGGGGCTCTGCTTTCTCCTACCTGCATAAAAGTGGTAGAAGGGCCACCAGGCAGCGCTGTTGGGAATGTACGTAAGTAGGGAGGCCACGTAGCCCCTGTAGAAGCCCCTCAGCCCATCAGCCTTGAAGATCTGCGTGATGATGTCTCGAGTCTGGCCAAAGACGGGGAACCGTTTGCCTTCGTGGGCCTGCACTCGGAAGCGGCCCATGCTTTCGCCCAGCCGCTGCATCATCAGGTGCTGGGAGACCACATCGATTGGCACGGTGATGCTCTGGGCAACGAGGGAGGCCGAGCCACCGGCCACCAGGGACTTGATGGTGTTGTTCTTGCTGTACTGCGAGACATACTTGCGGGTGAGTTCATACGTCGTCACGTAGCACTGCCCTGAGATGAGGGTGAAAGTGTTGACCAGGAAGCCCCGATACAGCCCAGCCGCCCCTTCTGCCCGCAGGATCTTGACAAAAGCATCAAAAGTCCCATTGTACAGACTCTTCCCCCTCTGGACCTGCAACCGCGTCCGTATGAGTGTGAAAGGGTACACGCTGATGCGGATCATCATTGTCATGCACACCCCAAAAACATAAAATTTCTTCTTGTCCAGGTGCTCCCACTCAATGATCTGGATGTTGCGCTTGTCCTCCATGGCTGGGGTTCTGCAAGGGAGAAAGGAGGACACGTGTGATGGAATGGTTTGGTGAAGGCCGCGCTTGGGGAGATAAGCATTTCCTTAGCCCCCAGAATGAGCGTGGGAAGGT